TGAAGGGAAGTTCTCTTTCTGCAGTTCTCTTACTGCACATAACTGTGGCATTATGGGAACTCTTACTATGCAATCTTTCTATGCTTACTATGAAAACTCTTGCTTCTTTCCTCTTGGATTCTGGGAAGTCTCCTTCTGCTCTGCACATACTGTTCCAAACACACCAAGCTCAGGACACCCAAGACATTCCCTCAATTCTTCAGTTCATTCTGAGTTCACGTACAAAAAACAACATGCTCTGTTCTCAATGCATAGCTGACCACATATACGGACCTTTCACTTATGATCAATCATTAGTAATTGTTTTAGTCATGTTATATTAATCTTAGTTACAATTTAATTAGGAGGATTCATGCCTGTCTAGTTCCAGCTCCGCTCCCAGTCTTTTGAACTATCACTGATTAATGTAAAATGTAATGCCCGCCTTGTACCTATGTTAACCAATCAGCAACAAGATGCTTTGTGTTTGTATCAGCCAATCAGCCACAAGCACACCTGTGGCAATGTTTGTAATATTCAATAAAAGAGAGTTCCCGGGACTTGCCCCGGGCAGACGCCTCTCCTTTGACACCCACCATTCGTCTGTCGTGATTTCAACCCAACATCTGGTGACCCCCGACGTGCCAGATCCCTTACGCAGCCAAACCTCATACTTCACCCGACTGGAAAAGTCTCAGCGCGCTACTTCGTGAGTATGGGAGGGGACTTGACTAAGCTCCAGAAAGAGCATGCTAAAGAGTTGCTTTATTTAGTTAGACAGCGGGAGGTGGGTGTTAATATTTCCTTAAAAGAAATTGAACAATTGCTATGTGAGATAAATTGCCAATGCATTTTTATCCAGAGGCTGGATCTTTGGACGTAGAGACTTGGCAAAAGATCGGAAAGACCCTTTTGCAGAACCTAGGGCTCCGATTCATTGTCTGCTCACTTGGCAGAAATGTGCTGATGCCGTCGCTAAATTAGGCCACAATTGGCGTCTCGCCCGCCACCAGCACTTCTGGCCATCGCAGACAATCCCCACCTTACCCGAAACTTTTACCTCCTTCTCCTTTGCAGCCCAGCCAATCCCTCCCTGCGTCTCACCCTCCTCAACCTGCATCCTCCCCCCCCATCCCTCCGCCTCAGCCTGATTCCTCCCCCCCCATCCCTCCTCCTCCTGCCACAGCCCCTGTTTGCTCTATAGGAGCTGTGCGTGCTGCGCTCTCTCTGGCAAGGCAAAAGGGCTCCTGTCCTTAGAGGAGGAGTCTGAGTGGCCAGGTGAAATGCCGTCTGCTTTCCCTATCTCTTATTCAAACCCTGGATCTGCTCAACAGCAGATTTATTATGAATCGCTTCCTTATTCTGTAATGAGGGAATTAAGGAAAGCCATTGCTGATTCTGGTCTGAAATCCTCTTATGTGACAGGGATGCTAGAGGGCATAGCAACTGGTTACATTATGCTACCTCAGGACTGGAAAGACCTTATGCGCATGCTTTTGTCCCCTGCTCAGTATGTGGTGTTTGAGAGTGAATTTAAACATAGCGCTTCAGCCCTGTCTGATCCTCAACATACTGCCAATGAACTTTATGGTGCTGGTCAGTTTGCTGATATAACTGCCCAAGCAACACTGACACCTGTACATTTTGTTCGCACCGCGATCCTGTGTACAACGCGCCTTTCGGAAAGTCCCTGTTTCTGGGCAACCGCTGAGCTCCTTTGTAAATATTAAGCAACAGCATTCGGAGCCATACCATCAGTTTATAGATAGATTGAAAGAATCAGTCACTAGGCAGATTGATAACACCACTGCTCAAAATGAATTGATGAAAAAATTGGCCTTTGAAAACGCAAACACTGATTGCAAGAAAGCTTTGCAGTCAATCATACATCGCCCTAAATATGAACTGGCCGATATGATTCAAGCTTGTGCGGATGTCGGTAGCCAGAGCCATGCGATGTCCTTGCTTGCCGGCGCAATCCAAGCAACCACTAAGCCTACTGGTAACTGCTTTAATTGCAAGCGCCCAGGCCATTTTGCCAAGCAATGCAGAGCCCCAGGCGGGGGGGCACACAAGGATGGTTCCGCCTCTAAGGCTAGACCTTCTAAAAAATGCCCGAAATGTGGAAAAGGCTATCATTGGGCTAATCAATGCAGGAGTTCGGGAAACTCCATTGCGGCCCCACTCTCGGGCCAGGAAAATTAGAGAGCTTTCCGCCTTTAATTTCTGCTGCTGCAAACTTTTCAAAGAACACACCCTCTGAATTTGCAATTGATTTGATCAATCAAGAGACCAAAGATTCTGTTCTACCTGGTGAAATTGTGCTCATGCCCACTCAATTGGCAGGTCCCCTGCCTCCTAAAGTCGCAGGTTTAATTTTACCCAAATTTTCTGCGGCGAAGGAAGGCATCCAGGTTATTCCTGGAGTTCTGGATCCTGACTATGTAGGCACAATAATGGTTCAACTCTGGAGCCATATGCCCATGCAATTAAAAAAAGGGTGAGTCTTGGGCGCATTTGGTGGTGCTCCCTTCTCATCCTACTGCTTCTATTATGGATACTAATTTGCACGAGCTCTCTTCTTTCCCTCCACAGCTGTTAGCTGTAGTCCAGAGGATTGGTGAGAAGAAACTTCTTCGTAAGTATAAAATCAATGGTATTGTGCTGGAAGGCTTGATTGACACAGGCGCAGACGTTTCTGTAATTTCTAGTAGTTGCTGGGACCCCACGTGGCCCCTTGAGTCTGCCTCTGCTGTCTGGGGTGTGGGTGGCCCCCAAACCTCTTCCAAAAGCGTACGGTGGCTGCCTGTGTCTCTGCCTGATAGCTCTGAAACCATTGCTTACATCCAGCCCTGTGTGCTGAAAATCCACCTCAATCTGTGGGGAAGAGACTTGCTACAGCAATTACAAGCTACCATTCAATTTAATGAGTAAGCTTGCACTTCCCCTCAGCTGGAAATCTACCACTCCTGTATGGGTGGAACAATGGCCCATAACAGGAGAAAAGCTACTTGCTTTAAAGCAATTAGTGAATGAACAATTATCGGCAGATCATATTGAGCCTTCAGTTAGCCCCTATAATACACCCATCTTCGTCATAAAAAAGAAGAGTGGCAAATGGAGATTTCTCCAGGATTTAAGGAAAATAAACCAAATCCTTGAACCCATGGGGCCTTTACAATGTGGTCTGCCAAATCCAAATTTAATCCCACATTCTTATCAATTGGCTATAATAGATTTGCAAGACTGTTTTTCTCCATTCCCCTACAGGAAAAAGATCGTAAATTATTTGCTTTCACTGTTCCTGTGTTAAATAACAGTCAGCCCACGGAACGGTACCAATGGAAAGTCCTACCACAAGGGATGTTGAATTCCCCTACCATGTGCCAACATTATGTGAGCCAAGCCCTCCAGCCCTTTCGTTTGCAGCATCCACACCTCCTGATCTGTCATTATATGGATGACGTGCTTATTAGTGGGCCACGCCTCCCCCCTCATTGGAAACAGGATATGCAAGCCTGTTTGTCACGTTATGGTTTGAAAATTGCCCCAGAAAAGGTTCAGGAATCATCTCCTTTTCATTATTTGGGACACAAAATGATAGCTAGCTATTCTATTCCTATTGTCCCTGAACTTCATGTTCCAAAAACAATGAAATATGTCCAGCTGCAGCAATTGCTGGGCAATATCAACTGGATAAGACCCTATTTTAAAATTCCCCTTGAAGTTTTACGGCCGCTTTTTTCAGCCTTAAAAGGCCATCAATCTCCTGGTGAAAAAATCACCTTGACTCCCACTCAGCAGGAGACTGTTGCCCAGCTAAAGGAAATCATGCGTCTCCACTGGGTTGATCGAGCTATTCTTAATGTTTTGCCTGATGTAGTCATAATGACAGATTCTGTCCAACCTTTTGCGGCCATTATTCAGTTAGGCCCATCAAAAGTTCACATAATTGAATGGCTGTATTTACATCATACACCAAAGAACACGGTGACTCCTTTAGTGGATCTCCTTGCTCAGCTCATCAGCAAGGGACGCCGCCGCTGCAAAAGCCTCTTTGGCACTGACTGCGGCCAACTCATTGTACCCATGCCTTTAGAACAATGGGAAACTGCTCTCTCCACTAGCATGGATTTGCAGTGCGCCTTAGCCGATTTTGTTGGCCAAGTGGATTGCCATATCCCAGCCGACCCTCGCCTGCAAATGAGCAAACAATTTTCCCTGTCTTTCTCAACCATATTATCTCCTGTCCCTTTGGACGCCCCTACTGTCTTTACTGACGGATCCCCCTCCAGGGGGGTAGTTGCCTGGCAACAAGATGAGGAATGGCACAGCCTCTACACTCTTCCACAAAAATCTGCCCAGCGTTCTGAGTTAGCAGCTGCTGTTAAAGCTCTGCACCACTTCTCCAAGCAGCCTTTAAATTTGGTCGTGGACAGCCTATATGTTGCAAATGTCATAACTCGTCTACAAGGCAGTTATGTAAGTCCTTTATTGGATGACAATTTATTGAGCCTTTTCCTATCCTTACAATTACTTCTTTCCACTCGCTCCCACCCTCTATTTGTGGTGCACATTCGCTCCCACCAACCTTTCCCTGGCTTCATCACTGAAGGCAACGCGAAAGCAGATTCACTGCTTAGAGCTTTGCCTGTTTCCCCTATTGAAAGTCATGCTTTCCATCATCAAAATGCGAAAGCCCTTAGCCGCCAGTTCCAAATCCCGTTGGAAGCGGCACGTGCAATTATTCAACAATGCCCTCAATGCTCTAATCAGATTGGCCACCCCAGCCCTGGTGTTAATCCCCGTGGGCTGGCATCCAACCAATTGTGGCAAATGGATGTCACTCACTTCGCCCCTTTTTCACCTTGGAAGTTCATACATGTTTGTGTTGATACGTTCTCTGGCTTTATTTGGGCCACCCCTCAAAGGGGAGAACAAGTTAAACATGTTTGCAATCATCTTGTTCGTACCATGTCAGTCATGGGCAAGCCTCATTCCCTGAAAACTGACAATGCCCCAGCGTACTGTGCAAAAACCTTTGCTCAGTTCTGTGAAACTTGGAATATTCACCATTTATTTGGCATCCCCTACAATTCTCAAGGCCAAGCCATCGTCGAAAGGGCTAATCGTACCTTAAAAACTGCTCTACAACGCCAGGAAAAGAAGGCCGGTGTCCCAGCCTCCCTTTCCGAAAAGGAAGGCTGGCTGGCCAGTGTTCTCTTTACTCTCAACCATTTGAATGTTTCCATACAGGATCATCAATCTTATACTCGCCTGCAGAAGCATTTTCAGCAAACAGAGATACTCCCAGCCCCACTGGTCCGCTATAAGATATTACCCTCCAACGAGTGGAGTGAACCTGTAAAACTGATCACCTGGGGAAAGGGTTACGCTGCAGTGTCTACTCCACAGGGTCCTCGCTGGGTTCCCGCACGCTGCATCCGCCTATACCATGGCATGGCGACAGTCCCTCCCGAATCCAGTACCGCAGTTCGACCACACACTACGGATCGCCCAGGCCGCAGCGCCCAGCCCCCCCAGGACTCGCAAGCGGGGAATCGTAATGGACCTGTGACATGGGGCCAAATAAAATCACTCTCATGTCAGGCTGAACAGCTTAGAAAGGAAAAGCAGCTTGAAGCAACCCCTGAGAATTTGCTTCTGTGTGTTATTTCCTGCCTTAACATTAATTCCATGACAGTGCTCATTCTCATTGCTTTGTTTTTGCCTCTTTCTGCTTCCACTCCTACTAGTGACACCCACGCACCTACAAATGTGTGGGAATCTTTTGCAAAGACACTCAATATTTCTTCCTTTTGCCTTACCCAACAGGTATCTATAGGGGAGATTCTTGGCTCCTGCCTTATCCCTGTTTGCCATGACCCTTTTGATATACAAAATGATACCTGGTTTTTCTCATCCCTACCCACAAATGATTCTCTCCGCACCCTTGGTTATTCCGGTTATTATGTCTGGGGTAACCAAGTGCGCCGCCGCCCATCTTTGGCCATTGATTTATCGACCCCATACGTGGCTTCCTTTAATGTCACTTGCGCCCGTATGGTGAATTGCACAAAAGCCAACTGCGTGAAAATGGGCACTGATAATTTCCACTGCTCTGATTATGTAAATATTTCCTATCTGTATAAATACACAGAACTACCTGCGGGTTGGTTCTGGTCGTGTCCTGGCTATACATTTAATTACATTCCTGCAAACATCAGCCATGGAACACCCTGTTGTTTAAGCCGTTTGTCTATTGTATTACCCAAAAGCATCATTTGACCCCTTCTCGACATCGCCGCTCTATTGAATTAACTAATGATTGTGATGATTCAATTTCTCTTCCCAGTAGATCTGAATATATCTCCTTAGCTGTCTCTCTCTTAGGAGTTCCTGGATTGGCTGTACGCAATAGTAGAAATATTAATTCTCTAGCTTGTTCTGCAGCAAAAGCGCTGAACTATACTTCTCAAGCCCTTCACCTTCTGAATAAAGAGCAAAGTGAACTCCAGCATGGGCTTTTACAGAACCGCGCCGCGATAGATTACTTGCTGATGCTTCATCATTATGGCTGTGAACAAGTGAATGACATGTGCTGTTTCAATATTACTGACAATTCTAGAGCCATTCAAAGCCAAATCTCTCATTTGCAAAATCTTACACATCACATTAAACAGGACGTTGGATTTTCTGGCCTCTGGGATTCTTTCACCCAGTGGCTTACTGCTTGGTTGCCTAACCTTACTTGGCTTCGTAGTCTCTTTCAATATGCTATTTTCATAATTTCCATTTTTATTTTACTATGCTGTTTCCTCCAATGCGTTCCCAGCCTCATGAGTCTTTTCTCTCGGCTTCTCTCCCCCCCTCCACCACCCAGCAAACTGCTTGCTGCTTACATTGCGAAATGGCAACACCAACAGTGAACCTTAGGGGAGATGTGGGCGGATTTATTTTGGGCATGCGCTGGCAAACCACGTATCCTGAAGTACTTTTGTCCCATCGACCCTGGCAGGCTTATTTCGGGCATTCGCTGGCACACCACTAATCCCGAAGTATTTTTGCCTTATCCACCTGGAATGCCTCGCAAACAAGAAAAGAAAGGGGGAGATGAAGGGAAGTTCTCTTTCTGCAGTTCTCTTACTGCACATAACTGTGGCATTATGGGAACTCTTACTATGCAATCTTTCTATGCTTACTATGAAAACTCTTGCTTCTTTCCTCTTGGATTCTGGGAAGTCTCCTTCTGCTCTGCACATACTGTTCCAAACACACCAAGCTCAGGACACCCAAGACATTCCCTCAATTCTTCAGTTCATTCTGAGTTCACGTACAAAAACAACATGCTCTGTTCTCAATGCATAGCTGACCACATATACGGACCTTTCACTTATGATCAATCATTAGTAATTGTTTTAGTCATGTTATATTAATCTTAGTTACAATTTAATTAGGAGGATTCATGCCTGTCTAGTTCCAGCTCCGCTCCCAGTCTTTTGAACTATCACTGATTAATGTAAAATGTAATGCCCGCCTTGTACCTATGTTAACCAATCAGCAACAAGATGCTTTGTGTTTGTATCAGCCAATCAGCCACAAGCACACCTGTGGCAATGTTTGTAATATTCAATAAAGAGAGTCCCGGGACTTGCCCCGGGCAGACGCCTCTCCATTGACACCCACCATTCGTCTGTCGTGATTTCAACCCAACAAGATAAATAGGTACCGCTCCGGGGGAAAGTTAAACGGTGTTTCCGTGTGCTGCTCTGGTTAGCCAGAAGTGGCTTAGTCATGCTGGCCACATGACACGGAAGCTGTACGTCGGCTCCCTCGGCCACTACAGCGAGATGAGCGCCACAACCCCAGAGTCGGCCACGACTGGACCTGAGGTCAGGGGTCCCTTTACCTTATATATGTATATATCTATTTGTATATGTGTACCTAGCCGCAGCCTCCATTTCAGGTTCTCCCAGTGAAGGACTAAACCCTCAGTGTGAAGGAATAAAACCAATGGGCACAGACTCAGAGGTTTTGCTTATATAACTTTCTGCTCAGCCAGACTCTGCCTGCTACTCCTCTGTTTGCCATCTCCGGCCCCAACCCGGATGCTCCAGCCTGAAGTCACCTGCATTCTCAGGGTATGGATATGCTCTGGTATTGAAATGTGTGGCGTTCTGAACCAAAAAATTATATAAAGTGTCTTGGGAAATGACAAGAAATATTTTCGGTCTTAAATTCAATAATTTGAAAGCTTTGAGGATTAATGACTCAACGCTACTTCACGGAAATCGATAAGAAAAGCTCCTACTGATTTCAGTGGGAACATTTCACCAACAATAATGAGGTAAATTTGAAAAGCTATAATTTCTGAGTTGGCAGCATTTGCAAAAGAATGGAAGCCTCACAATAGGACTGCAGAGCCCTCCCTTCTAAGAATTGCAGTAATGACCAGTAATTCAGTGTTGCTGAGTAATGAGGTTGCCAGCTTCGACCGAAAGCTAACGGGAGAGAGGTGTCAGGCTGACACAAGGGGCCTTTCCCAACCTACTTCCCCAGAAGGAAGAACTTCCTGACAGTAAGAGCTGTTTGACAGTGGAATTTGCTGCCAAGGAGTGTGGTGGAGTCTCCTTCTTTGGAGGTCTTTAAGCAGAGGCTTGACAACCATATGTCAGGAGTGCTCTGATGGTGTTTCCTGCTTGGCAGGGGTTGGACTCGATGGCCCTTGTGGTCTCTTCCAACTCTATGATTCTATGATTCTATTCTATGATTCTAAGAATGTTTAACACTGAGAAGACGAGGCAGCACCACCACAGAGTCACCTGAAGCGATGGGTGAAAATTAGTTATGCTTGCTGTAAACAATGGAATTGTTCACGTGCACAGGAATTAACAAGTTCACAAGCAGCTCTGGAGGGGTGAGGTGGGATGGAAGAGATTGGAAAAACAGTGATGTGCCTCTTCCCCCAAGTACTTCTTCAAGTAATTAATGTGAACAAGGCCTTCAACAAGGGACACAAATGTTTTTCTCCACATAAGTCTTTTTCACATTTGCTATCCTTTCACGAAAGATGCTTTGGGCAGTGGGCATACTATCTCCCCAATGCCATTCTTGCATTTTCTCTGTCACTGAGATTCCATTTAGCTATGCTAAGCAGGAAGCCTCATGGTGGTTTTCTACTATAAAGAGACGGATGTATATCTAACAACTTCAAGTCACCAAAGAATACCCAAAGAGTACTCATTAACGGTTCCTCATCATCCTGGGCAAAAGTGACACATGGGCTGCTGAGGGTTCTGTCCTGGGCCTGTTACAGCTTTCCAAAGGGGAGTGGGGAACAAATCTGAGTTGAACTCCTTGGCCAAATCAGATTGGTCCATACCAAATCAGGTTGTGGCTGGTGCACTCCCCTTCTATATACTTGTTGTTGTTTAGTCGTTTAGTCGTGTCCGACTCTTCGTGACCCCATGGACCAGAGTACGCCAGGCACTACTGTCTTCCACTGCCTCCCGCAGTTTGGTCAGATTCATGTTTATAGAACTATATAGAAATAGTTCTATATACTATAAACAACAATAAAGCAAGATTTAAATGAATATTGATCTAAACCACACAGTTAAACAACTTTTGTTATGGCATCAAATTTCAGAGCCTGGTTTCTCAGATAATAGCTAGAATAACCCACAGTTCCACAAGTAAATAGCAGCCACCCCTGTGCAGGGGCATTTCTGTTAAGCACATGAACCTGACTAGGGGATGAAATGGACAACTTTAGCCCCCAAATGTGAATGAATATGAGAACCTAGCCAGAAAAGTGTTTACTACATCTGCCAGCATTTGGAAATCCAAAAGAAGGAAGCTCAGTTCACTCATTCCTTCTACATTGCTGTGTTTTGTCCTTGGAGACTAGCGGGGAGGGGAGTTTGTCAACACAGGAGGGGGAGACACCTGTGACTCTTCACTTGCCTGACTCATCTCTGCCTCTTGACCTCCCTTCTCCCCTGCTTCAGCTTCTGATTCTGCCACAGACTCTCCCAGCTCACTAAGCCCTGTTACCTCATGAGCTTCTGACACCTCCTCTTCCCTATCTTCTCCCTTTGACCACTCATTGTTGTCCCACCACCACTCCCTGGGCTCTGAGCCTTTCCCTTGCTGGTTTATCCCACCATTCCTCTGTGTTCAACCAGTTTGTGACATTTACAGTGAATCATAGAATCATAGAATCATAGAATCATAGAATCATAGAGTTGGAAGAGACCACAAGGGCCATCGAGTCCAACCCCCTGCCAAGCAGGAAACACCATCAGAGCACTCCTGACATATGGTTGTCAAGCCTCTGCTTAAAGACCTCCAAAGAAGGAGACTCCACCACACTCCTTGGCAGCAAATTCCACTGTCGAACAGCTCTTACTGTCAGGAAGTTCTTCCTAATGTTTAGGTGGAATCTTCTTTCTTGTAGTTTGGATCCATTGCTCCGTGTCCGCTTCTCTGGAGCAGCAGAAAACAACCTTTCTCCCTCCTCTATGTGACATCCTTTTATATATTTGAACATGGCTATCATATCACCCCTTAACCTCCTCTTCTCCAGGCTAAACATGCCCAGCTCTCTTAGCCGTTCCTCATAAGGCATCGTTTCCAGGCCTTTGACCATTTTGGTTGCCCTCCTCTGGACACGTTCCAGTTTGTCAATGTCCTTCTTGAACTGTGGTGCCCAGAACTGGACACAGTACTCCAGGTGAGGTCTGACCAGAGCAGAATACAGTGGCACTATTACTTCCCTTGATCTAGATGCTATACTCCTATTGATGCAGCCCAGAATTGCATTGGCTTTTTTAGCTGCCGCGTCACACTGTTGGCTCATGTCAAGTTTGTGGTCAACCAAGACTCCTAGATCCTTTTCACATGTACTGCTCTCAAGCCAGGTGTCCCCATCTTGTATTTGTGCCTCTCATTTTTTTTGCCCAAGTGCAATACTTTACATTTCTCCCTGTTAAAATTCATCTTGTTTGTTTTGGCCCAGTTCTCTAATCTGTCAAGGTCGTTTTGAAGTGTGATCCTGTCCTCTGGGGTGTTAGCCACCCCTCCCAATTTGGTGTCATCTGCAAATTTGATCAGGATGCCCTTGAGTCCATCATCCAAGTCGTTGATAAAGATGTTGAATAAGACCGGGCCCAAGACAGAACCCTGTGGCACCCCACTAGTCACTCTTCTCCAGGATGAAGAGGAACCATTGATGAGCACCCTTTGGGTTCGGTCAGTCAGCCAGTTACAAATCCACTGAGTGGTAGCATAGTCAAGACCACATTTTACCAGCTTCTTTACAAGAATATCATGAGGCACCTTGTCAAATGCCTTGCTGAAATCAAGGTAGGCTACATCCACTGCGTTCCCTTCATCTACCAGGCTTGTAATTCTGTCAAAAACGAGATCAGGTTAGTCTGACATGACTTATTTTTCAGAAATCCATGCTGACTATTGGTGATCACAGCATTCCTTTCTAGGTGCTCACAGACTGTTTGCTTAATGATCTGCTCCAGAATCTTCCCTGGTATTGATGTCAGACTGACTGGGCGGTAATTATTTGGGTCCTCTCTTTTCCCCTTTTTGAAAATAGGGACAACATTTGCCCTCCTCCAGTCTGCCGGGACTTCGCCTGTTCTCCAGGAATTCTCAAAGATGACTGCCAGTGGTTCTGAGATCACATCTGCCAGTTCTTTTAATACTCTTGGATGCAGTTCATCTGGCCCTGGAGACTTGAATACATCTAAACTAGCCAAGTATTCTTGTACTATCTCCTTAGTTATTCTGGGCTGTGTTTCCTTTGCTGAATCATTTGCTCCAAATTCTTCAGGTCGGGCATTGTTTTCTTTATCGGAGAAGACTGAGGCAAAGAAGGCATTGAGGAGTTCAGCTCTTTCTGTGTCCCCTGTTTGCATTTCACCATCTTCTCCTCTGAGTGACCCCACTGTTTCTTTGTTCTTCCTTTTGCTACGGACATACCCATAAAAGCCTTTTTTGTTGCTTTTAACCTCTCTAGCAAGCCTGAGTTCATTCTGTGCTTTAGCTTTTCTGACTTTGTGTCTACACGTGCTGGCTATTTGTTTGAATTCCTCTTGGTGGTTTCCCCCCTTTTCCATTTTTTGTACACATCCTTTTTAATCTTAACTCAGTTAAAAGTTCTTTAGATAGCCACCCTGGCTTCTTTAGGCACCTTCCATGTTTCTGTCTCATTGGTATTGCCTGACGTTGTGCTTTTAGTATCTCCCTCTTAACAAACTCCCAGCCATCATGAACTCCCTTTCCTTTTAGTATTACTGTCCATGGGATCTCACCCAGCACTTCCCTAAGTTTTATGAAGTCAGCTTTCTTAAAGTCAAGAAATTGAGTCCTAGTATGCTTGGCTGCTCCTTTCCGCTGTATAGTAAACTTCAGAAGAGCATGATCACTCGCGCCTAATGATCCTTCCACTTCTACCCCACTAACCAGGTCATCAACATTGGTTAGGACCAGATCTAAAATGGCTGTTCCTCTTGTTGCTTCTCCCACTTTCTGGACAATGAAGTTGTCTGCAAGGCCAGTGAGGAATCTGTTTGACCTTATGCTCTTGGCTGAGTTTGACATCCAACAAATATCCGGGTAATTGAAGTCCCCCATTACTACTATCTCCCTTCCTTTTGCATGCTTGGCCATCTGTTCCAGGAAGGCATCATCTATG